TCATGCCTGTTTTTGGCATTGTTTGTTGTCCGTTTTCCACGTGGACGCGTTTTCATAAGCGTCTCCTCGACAGTCGCGTGTGCGAAGCAACCGGCCGGCGTCACGACTACAAAACAAATCTGGCTCACCGCTCATTAACTGCAGCGCTCGAGTCACCGCGTCCCCCGTCGCAACAATCATTCACCGAATCGCAGAAAACAGCCCGGCCGTTTTTTCCAGGTGCAGCAATTTCTGGACGACCTGTTTTGCATAAAGTAGTCTGAGATTTCTTTATTTAGTTTGAAGGGAAAACAAAGCTAGTGAATCATTGGCTACGTAACAAAGGCCCAAATCTGCACACTCATGTCCTGACGTAAATGATTTATACAAAGACTCCTAGCGCTCGCCCACTTTCCAGTTCAAATGAAATTTACGAAATCCTGGGTAATCATTTCATATTAAAATGACTCGTAGAATCAAGGAAGCACCGTACTTTGTTTTAACTCATTCAAAGTTTTCTACAAATCGGAGAGTTCTTATTTTGACATTTTACTCACGAGAGTTTGCCTAAACAAAAATACAGCAAACAGTTTTCATTTAACATATTTATATATGTGGTTTGTACTGTAGAAACTTTACAGGTGCAACTCCTTTTCTACATATATATAAAAGCAAGGCAACCTTTAGCACACTAATCAACTTCAAAAAGAAAAACTAAACCATAACCAAAGAAATGGTTTCTTTGGAAAGGCACCAGAGTGAAAACGTTTCTACCCTCATTTATTGAATTATTTTTCTTCTACTCTCTTCTTCAATACAGCATGATGTTCATTTCTTAAATTATGATCAATTTAGAGTCAAACAGACCATCACATAGAGAAACACATTGATATTCTCTAATCAACATCCCAACCGCTTCACGGTTAGATGCTAAACTGCATTCTGTTGTCTCAGTACCTGTACTCTGTGCAATGACAATAACGTTGAACCAAATCTAATCCAAGCTACCCTGTGATTGACAGGTCTCCACCAAAGACGCCACCTCTCCAAATAATTATCCCTTCCATTCACTATTGCAAAAGGTTGACGGCAGTAAACCAAGATGGCCGCCGTTACAACTACTCGAGAACCTACTGTTCAAAGACGAAAGAGTGACGTCCCGACAACTGCGCCCCAACCAATGTAAAGTTTGATAAAATGTGTCCTACAGGCACAAAGATGAATTAATTGAGTTAAGACTGAACACTCTGTGTGCACATGATCAAACTCTGTCAGCCCGAGAAATATCTCGCTCAAGGACACGGTGGCGGTTTGGACCCGGCGGTTGCCGATGTCGATGGGTATCGTCCATCAAAACCTCAACCCCAACTATAGCCAAGCTCTTATTCTTAGCAAACGGCCGGCATGATGTCACGGCCGGACTGTCGACTGAGCGATGGGGCCAGGGGTATGTGCGGCATGCCGAGCTCCCCCGGGGCCGCTCTTCCTGTCTGTGGCCTGGCCTTTGCTGGTTTTTAAAGCTCAGGATTAAAGGTCACAGGAAACTACCTGTGCTAATTTTAGGCAGGCATGTAGATGCCCCCCCCCCCCTCTCAGCCCTTTCCCCTTTCCCTCTCCCTCTCAGCCCCTTCATCGCAGCGGCTTTCGACAGGTCAGTCATACAGGGAACTTGGAAACACGTATGTTCTGTCATTGGGGGGGGGGGGGG